CAAAGTACTGTGACGTTGGGACAACGTCTATAATCACATCCTAATATTTACAACCTCTAACCAACGTCGGACCAACGGTTGTAACCAACCTCCATTCCAAACGTTTACCGACGTCGGGCCAACAACGTACTATGACGTTGAGACAACGTCTGCAATCACATCTAATATTTACAACCTCTAGCCTACGTTGGGCCAACGGTAGTACCCAACCATCTTTTTAGTAGTTTGCCGACGTCGGGCCAGTAACAAATCGTGACGTTGTACCAACGTCCGTAGTCTGACTGAATATTTACGACGGTTTACCAACGTTGGGACGACATCGGAAAATCGACAAATACATTCATACGGCCAACGTGAAATTCCAATGTTGGTTTGACCAGGGAGTTGACGTTACCTTTTCGACCAAATTTTGCAACCAAACACTAACGTCAAATATCCTCCCCCGACGCTTGCCAACGTTTACCAACGTTGGGCCAACGTCGCTTTGGTAGCTGGGATTATTTCCTAAAATTTGGGCATTGAATACCCAAAACACATTTTCCATACACAAGTTTCTCTTTCGAGATACTTGCTATTGCTAAAGATAAAGCAAAAAAGAGAGTATCTATGGCAATAGTGCATGCGGCATTAGTGCTACTGATCAATGTTTCACATTTGTGAACACGTAGACCTTTTACATTAATCGCTATCATGTTGAGTGTCATATGGGTAGATCTGAGAGGCATGTTATAGTATAGTCAAGGACACTTATCTCGACACTCCACCGTACGGTCTCACTGGAGCACGCTCTGAAGGTCCCAATGTTGCTCAATGTTGCTTCGTAAAACCGTAGTATAAGCCTATATATATATATATATATATATATATATATATATATATATATATATATATAGTATCCAGTATATATAGGCTTGTATATATATATATATAGGCATATATATATATATAAACAAATTAATAAATGATAGAAACAATGATCAAATAAAGGAATAAATAATGTTATACATTATGTTTACAATACACAATACTTCTATGCTTTATAACAATGTTAACATACGTTAAAGATGAGTAATCTACGAAAAATAGTCTTATTTTAGGACCGCTTTACATAATATTGTTCTTAATCCCATTTCAATCCCTTTATCCTCCGTCAATAGCTAAGCTTTTTTTGTCAAAGCAATAAAAGGAAAAATTTGAAAAACTGGGTTCTTTAAAACTAAAAAAGATTTTATACAGGACTGCAGTAGGTCTATAATTATGTGATTATTTTAGAACTTGATTCACATTTAACGTTCGTCTATTATAAATCATTCAGTAAAGCTATATATAGTTGACTGCTAAACTACAGCTGTCACGTTAGCAGAGTTTAATCTTTAGTTTCCACACCTTAATTCTAAGCAATCAATTAATGTTGCCTATTACCTCCTCAATGCGACATCTTGACACCTTGGAATGTGACTTCAAGGGACACTTAGCACAATTTACGAAAAACAACATTTATATCAGTAAACGAACGTTTTTTTGTTTTTTGTTTTGTTTTAATGTTAGCCTTTTCTACAAGTCATGAATAGATAACAAGGTCATTCCAGTGTTACCGATTTATGAAATCAAGTAAACAGAAAATAAATGGGGCCTTGGATGGGTTTACAGTACCATTTAACAAATCAGCGCAACACATGGTCGAGTCATAATCAAACGGTTTAAGCCACCCAGTGGCGTATCCATGGGGTACGCGGGAGGCACACCCCCAAAAAGATCCCCCCACAAGTCGCCCCAAAAAAATTCGCCCTAAAAAATCACGCTCAAGTAGTTAAAAATACCCAAAAATTACCTTATTTTGCGAGCTGGCTCGCCCCTCACATAATAATCGCGACGACCCCCCCCCCCCTCCAGTGCATGACCTTC